GTTCCAGACTAAGAAAGAAGAACTTTATATTGCTTGTAAATTTGTAAAGTTTTTGTATATAAATCATTGTGTGTAATAACTATTGGTAATAACTGTTATTGTAAATTGTATTGTTGTTTATATATTGTAAAACATATTTGTGTTAAAGAAGAAAACTGTTTGTATCAATCTTGTTGTCGAATATCATAAACTGACTATATATCGGCTTTTACTTAACTGCTAAATCGAAAGTACAATTTAACTACTAAATTTAAATTATCAGTTAACTCAATTTCAGACCATTTAAACTTCTAATACGTAACAAAATATGTACGCAAACGCTTAATGTAGCTTTGTATTGTTACGTAATCTGAATTTTCTAGAAACTCTCCACACGCCTATAAGTATAACCAAAGAACAAATATTAACAAAGAAAACTGTGTGTATCAATCTTGTTGGCAAATATCATAACTTGGAGATATATCGACAAATATTTAACTACTAAATTTAAATTACAAGTTAACTCAATTTGGGACTATTTGAAATTCTAATATGATACAAAAGACACAAACCTGAAAAGTAAACGTTACCAGAACTACTATATTGATACATGGTTAAAATATTGGGCTTAATGTTGAAAACAGCTTTTTAAAACAGGTAAAAAATTAGAGTAGACAAAAATGGTTAGAAAAATGTCTTAAAGACTGTAAAGTATATGAAGAAAGTCTTATAACAATGGCAAAAGACATAAAATAAAACAATTTTTTATAAAACAGACTAAAATACGCCAAAGGTTTATATATATTGTTCGCCGTAACAATCTATATGTTGTAATGACATTGAAACAAAATTTAAACAATACATATCATATATTTATTTGATCTCTTAGAAATGAATTAATAGAGTTTCACTCCAGAAATATATAATAAAAATTTCAGTTACGCTAAGGTTAGAATAAAATATTTCTCACATGATACATCTGTCCAATAGTTCTGTCAATATTTCGTGTTGTTGTAAGATTGCCCGATGCCTGGTCCAAGTGAAAGAATGAGTAATCTCGCACTTCCAACATGTTAAATGTAACCGGATTTTGTGGCACTTCGGAGTCGTATGCATTAAGAGTTGTCACATGCACACCAGGTGGCGCTTCGTAGTAAACCCGTGGTGTTCGTAATGACAGAACAAACTTCAACTTACCTACAATACATGGAAATATTACCTTCTAAATTCAAATTTAATTGCTCATTTGAATTAAGAATAAAAATAAATGTATATATGCAATGTATACAAAGTTAAAGTAAACAATTGACTTAATACACTCTAACAAACTACTATGGTTATTGAATATTTCTAACTACCAAATTATACATTTTTACGAGTATAAGAACAACTTTAAAATAAAAAAAATGCAATACAATATAAATAATTCGGTTAGTTGAAGAATGATACAAAACCATTTCACATTCTTTTTTCTGATGCTTTTCTAAGAAATCAATCTAAGAAGGGATAAACACATTACCAGAAATTTATGTCTAACTTTCTAACAACGTATAGCTTATAACCGAAGCTAATGATGATCCTATAATTTCCATGTTGCAGTTTATTTATGACATTAAAATTGTGATAAAAAATTAGCAGTTCATTAATCTTTTTCAACACAGTCGAAAATGTGTTCTTAAGATTTCCATATAGATTTCACAATATTTTAGTAGCTTTCAAACTCTCAATGATAGACTAATTGATTTATAATCTACCCCTAACAGTGGATGACGTATTCTTGCAATTTCAATTTGACATTTATAATTGTTGTGGATTTCACTTCAACTACATAGGACAGCTGTTTAATATCGGCTTCAGTATTAAAGAATAGAATTGAAATACGATTAAAAATATTTATTTATTCAATACATAAATAGCTATTTATTAATTAAATGAAATATAGTTTATTATTGTGCTCCCGGAGGTTTTATAATCAGTTTCAGAGCTATTCAAATATATAGATAATCTTGTTTCTTCGTGTCATTCATCATAAGTTCTGCAAAACAGTATATAAACATGAATAAAAAAATCCGTTATGCCACAAAAAAGTTAGTTAACATTTGTAACACACCAGAGTTAGCTAAGATGGTACGTAAATAAATAAATAACAAATATGTTTGTGCAGAAAGCTTGAAATATATATACAAATGTATAAATCATAATAATAATTCAAAAAATAGTAAACAGCTCTTAATGATAAATGTAAAATACATTCAAACAAATGCTTCTATGAAACCTATCTTACAAAACAGATATCTATATTCCATATATACAAAAGTAGCTGTGACGCTTTTATGTGCTTTAAAACAATAATTTTGATAATGTTTTTAGGTTTAATGAATGTTTCTTCTTGTTTTATATCAGAACTAGCTGATAATTGTTTGGACTCAACAGAGGGCAGAAAAAATCGTCATCTAGTTAATAAATGCTTAATTAATATGAAAATAAAAAAATGCATAGAAAAATAAATGGAAAAAGAACGTGTTTTATCCTCACATCATGCTATTTAATTAACTGAAAATTTCACCCAAGGACACGATTTAGCAATGTCCTAATTTTATGTTTGTGATAAATGAGTGAATACTGTACGAAACCTTCGCATAAAGCAGAATGTCTGGTGAAAGCCAGATTGAACTATTTTCTCCACGTCAGGTCTGTAGTGCATGACACGAGATGCCATGATCGACTATGGAATTAGTAAAAAAAAAACTGTCACAAACGTTCTGCATATTATTGTGTGAAACAGGTCTGAAAATTGTAAACATTACTAAAATATTTTAAAAAATTCAAGTACTTCATCGGATACAAATGCAGAAAATTTACAAATATCAAACAAGGTATATGGTTAGAATTCTCCAGTTAATTCTATTATCTCCTCCCCTCCTTACAGTGTCTCAGCGGCAAGTCTAAAGACTAATAACGATAAAAATTGGATCTGGACAGAGCACAGTTATCCCATTGCGTAGCTTTGTACTTAACAATAAACAAATGAAAAACCTATTAGAAATACTAACAGAAACGCTGCCCTATGGGCGGCTGTTTGTGTTAGTAATTACCAATCGTAGCATTCATACCTCGTGGAAAAAAAGAAAAAGAAAAAGTGAACATTTTCTAAAAAAAGGGTTTTTTTCAGTCGAAGTACAACACGGAAAAATTGTTCGATTGTTGCTCTTTAGTCATACGCAACTCATTGCAACAAAATGGTTCAATGTACAGAACTCAAATGTTTCATAAGATTTACTGATATAAACTGTTTTCATACATTATAAGTGGTACTGTTTCTTGAAAAAAAATGATAGTTTTTAAGAACTCCAGTTTCTCAGTACTACATTTAAAAATTACAACAATAAATATAAGATATTGTTGCGTCAGCGAGATCACGTGACTATTCTCACGCCCTCTGCTTTCTAGAACTATC